TCCAGAAACGCGACTGGACACATTCACAGGCGGGGGTGATGGCTCCATGATTCTTGACCATGAGCTTTGCATTCTAAATGGTGACCTCAACTACCGTATTGATACCATGTCTCGTGATACCGTGGTTAAGGCGGTTAAGCAGCAGCAGCTCGCCAAGTTACTTGACCGTGACCAGCTCCTGGTGGCACGACGTCGCAACGCTGCCTTTCGCCTGCGTGCGTTTGAAGAGCTTCCCATAACATTTTCGCCGACCTACAAGTACGATGTCGGCACAGATACGTATGATACCAGTGAGAAGAGACGAAGTCCAGCCTGGTGCGATCGTTTGCTCTTCCGAGGACAGGGACGGGTACGCCAACTGGATTACAAGAGACACGAAGTGCGAGCCAGCGATCATCGACCTGTTACGGGAAGTTTCCGCCTCTGGGTGAAGAAGGTTGATGGCGCAGGGAGGGCCAGGGCTTGGATGGAGAGCCAGGGACGATTTGAGAGTGTGCGAGCACAAGTCATGGCCAATGAAAAGTGAGTTACTCACCGTGTTGGCAACAACAGAGTGGCCACCAAGGAACATGGATTTATGCTAACCTATCTTAGAATGGCTTACCTTGCACACTACTGCGGATTCGACGAGGCAACAAGCCGGGCACTAATAGAAGAGAAATCATCACGAAAAGTACACCGGAGCCCCAGTAGGAATAGGGGCGGCGGCTATTAGAGCAGGCACGTATATTTGGCGCATTGAATTTTTTTAATCCTCATGGCAGGCGGGCATATCCAGCGTAGCGTCGAGACGAATCTTTACGGACAAATGGTGGTTAGCGAGACCGGGACAGCGTACCGTCAAAACGCAATAGAAGGAGGGACGGGCGTTAACGGGGCTTACGAATGATTTTGACGAATGGGTGGTTTAACGTGAGGTGGGAATGGCTACCTAGGTATATAGGTATATAATTGATGCCAAGATAAGATAGACTTGGTAACGCCCAACTGATGGCATCGAGCATGATGACTGTAAGCTCACGTGGACATGAAAAATACTTAGTTTGTCATTCAAATGAGAAGACGACCAACTTTTTGAATGAAGCCGGCAGGGTCCGTGTAGTTTGGAACAAGTTGGCTATTAGACGTTGAGGAGCCGACGGAGTTGCAAGTGGGAAAGGCTTCCGAACAAAAACTCAATGCGAGGTGGCTGACGGAGGTACTCGGTAGTTCCACTGACAGCAACGGCACTCGCCCCATTCATACCGGCTCTGGCCAATTACACAGGAGGATGACCCTGACAAGCCCCTTGGCTTCGGTGCTAATTTAGGTGGCAGCTCCAGTCTCAATATCAAATCATGAATCTCACTACTCGGTAGATCCGATAAACTACTATTTCCAACCGAACTCTTTCTTTTCCTCTGGTCTGCTCTTGACTAACGGATAAAGGAATTTTACCACTTGACACAGAGAAACCGAAAGACTTGGCAGCGACGCTTGCACGCCTCAATCGCAGGCGGACCAGGAGATTGATAGCAGTGGGGCAAGGGGAACATTGAAAGGAAAGGGGACGGACATCTGGAGAGCAGAGTCAGGAGACGATCATCACCACAATCTCACCAGACTCGACGAAAAACACACCAGGTGGCAAGTCGCCGACATGGTAGCACAGGAAGCACAGGAAGCGCCCCCGGCGGCAGCAGAGGCTCTCAAAGTCCCCCTCGAGGCACCCACGCCCGAGAGCACGCCCGAGCCCCGTCCAGAACTCACGCCCGACCAGCAGACCAAGTACACGACGCTGCTGGAGCGCGCGAGGTCCATCAGCGAGGTCAAGTGCGCGTCCAAGAACAACCCAGACAAGTCGGGCCCGGTGACGGAGCACGAGCGCGCGTGGCTCACCCGCGAGTGCATCCTGCGCTACCTCCGCGCGACCAACTGGGCGGTGGGCGAGTCGGAGCAGCGGCTGCGCGACACGCTCGCCTGGCGGCGCGAGTACGGGCTCGACGCCTTCACGGCCGACTACATCTCGCCGGAGCAGGAGACGGGCAAGCAAATCGTCGTCGGGTTCGACAAGCAGGCCCGGCCGTGCCAGTACCTCAACCCGGGGCGGCAGAACACCGACCCCAGCCCGCGCCAGATCCACCACCTCTTCTACATGGTCGAGCGCGTCGTCGACGTCATGCCCCCCGGCGTCGAGAAGCTCAACCTCATGATCAACTTCAAGCCCAGCGCCCAGAGGCAGAATACGAGCGTGCCCGTGTCGACGGCCCGGGAGGTGCTGCATATTCTGCAGAGCCACTACCCGGAGCGCTTGGGCAAGGCGCTGATTATCAACGGTGAGTTTCTTGTGTTTTCCAAGGGGTGAAAAAAAAAAAAAAGGGCCCAGAGAGGGAGAAGGAGATTGCTGACGATTCGTTTCTTTTTTTGGCGGTTTTTTTTTATAGTCCCCTGGATCGTGCGGGGCTTCTTCAAACTCATCCAGCCGTTTATGCACCCCGTGACGCGCGAGAAGCTCAAATTCAACGAGGACATGAGGCAGTTCGTGCCGGCGGCGCAGCTCTGGAGCTCCGACTGGAACGGCGACCTGGACTTTGAGTACGACCACGCCGTCTACTGGCCTGCCCTGAACGACATGTGCCGCCGGAGGCGGGAGGAGAGGGTGGCCAGGTGGAAGGCCGCCGGCAGCCTGGTCGGCGAGTCGGAGGACTACCTTGCCGGCGGGACCGACGTGAGCGTTGGCGGCTTCAAGTACACGGGCGGCGACGGCGACGGCGACGTGGATCTTGTGCAGGAGAAGATGGCGGCTGCGACGGTGGAGGACGGGGGAGCGTGTCCGGTTGCCGCTGCGTAGAAGCTCCCCCGGGGGCCAGGGGTGAGTGAGAGGAGAGGGTTATCTGCGTTGCGATTTGAATTTTGCCATGTTTGTAAATCAAGAATAGCCCTGCGGCATGTATTTTCTTCTTTTTTTATTTTGTTTTGCTGTTTACATAGAGTAGCGTAATTAGATAGACTTGGCTATGTTTTCGTTCCCTTCCCTTCCTTTCTTGACAGGAGCATCGCCACGCAGCGGTTCATGTTGCGTCAAGTTCAATGTCGGCCCGTGCCGCCGCTCCGATGTCAGGGCTCAGGGGGTGGACAAGGCCGCCAGTCTCGAATCCCTCCAAGACGATGATGGCCAGGGGTATGGATTCACACAGATGCGTCTTTGTGCTTTGAAGTCTGGCATTTGCATGACTGCGAGGCCGAAACAAGGCACAGTCGGTCCGTGATCCCATCTATTTGGTGACTGTTGTACTTACTACTGACCCCCCGTACCTGCTTCCGTGCGACTTGTTGTGTCCAGTTGCCTGTCAAGCCGAGGTTCACCGGCGGTACGATGATGGCAGACATTTCCATTGTTTACATGCTGACAATTCCGTGTGCAAGGGAGAAGTAAACGAAGCTTGCGGCCGCGGTTAACTGGCTGCCATAGCCACATATCAGATAAGACGCAGTCGAGTTGCTTTGGCATTCTGTGTTTTAAAGTAAAAAAGCCTCTAGCCCAGTGAATGCCAACTCCTAGATACAACAGCCCCTTCATCCGCTTCACTGTTCAGGGCTGGTAACATGGCACATGACATTCACACGTATTTATGCACATGTAGACTATATGCAGTAGGACCAACTCATGCATGGCACTCCCCCAGAGTCCCAGACCAACAAGGCAACCAGCCTCATCTCCAGTCGGTTGTTGCTGACGCGTCACGCGCACTTTTCAGCATCGGAATTCCCAAGGGGTGCCTTGCTTAGGGTCCCGTCGTCAGCGGCAGTGTTTCGATCTGGGTCCAGGTACAAAGAGGTGCAAAGATCGGTGGTCTCTCTCCTCCGCGCTCCCCTCTGCACGGTAAGAAAAAGCATGGCTCGAGCTGCCTGTGAAACGACTTCGGGCAAGTCTCCGACAAAAGTTGGTCAAGGTCAACGGAACGACGTAGTAGGAGGAATTTTCGAACAACGGCCCTGGGCAGCAGATTAATGCCCAAGCTTTTGATGAACAAATTAAGGCGTGCGGAGAGTGTTCGCTGCCGTGAGCATCGTGTCAGGCGCGCGTCAGGTGCACAGCAGTGACTCTGCTCGAGCCATTCAAAACAAAGAGTTGATTCATATTGATGCGACGTCGCATTTTGCGTCACCTTGGCTTTTCTAGGACACAAACTGGCACATTTGACCGACTTGAGTTTTGTGTATGTCCATGTTCTTCCTTTGTGATATCACAACGGTGCGGCCCTGGTCTTAGTGACCATGTGGAATGCGCGGAATGATTGGTTATCTAGCTGAACCTCTCGGAAAATGAGAAACCTATCAGGGCAAACCGAGTATTTTATGGAAATAAGGGAGTCCGCATTAGCGTACTCGGGCTGAGCTGAATGAGACTGCGGATAAACATCGTCAGCCACGCATGCACCAGGGGCCAGGGATTTTGGCCATTGCGTCAGGGCTGTCACTGGCTTTACAGTGTATGGAGAATTCCTTAGCCATTTCAAGTCGCACAAGAGGACTATGCTCTGCGAGTTTCATGTGGTCCCTCTACGATAGCAGCGCCAGCTTTGTCCAAGCTTTGTTCGAACGCTGATTGCACTCCGGCCCGGCCCGGTTTGCCACCTAGGCGATAATATTAGCGAGTCTGCTTAGTTTACGAGTCAACATCCTCGAAACATGCAGCATTCAACTACCACTCATTGAGACGTCGCCTCAGCCTGTAGGGGGCGCTTGGTTCACGACGAGCACGGCCTGCAAGCCGACAGGCAACAAAGCGTCACAAGTAAAAGCTTCGCCACTTCTTTCGAAGTAATGAATGAGCTCCTGACCAAACCAAACAACACAAAGGACTTACCACGGAAACATGTGCCGGACAATAAGACTAGGATTGTTGTCCCTGTTTTCTTCCTTTTCAGTGAGACGTTCTCGAATATATATACCGGAGGCTGGAGCCGTTTTACCTCCTCACCATCACAGATCATCGGCTCACCAACTCTCTCACCAAGATGGATTCCGAGCTTCCTCCCACCTCCCAGCACGACTCTGGTCCAGCTAGAGCCGAAGCTCAACCAGGCTTTTCCCCGGCGGACATCTTCGACAACCTCCTTGCCACCGCTGGCCGAGCATCACCACTGACGCCGTTCTTTCTGTTCATATACCAAATTCTTGGTTTGCGACTGGGACTGGATCTATCCGTTATCATGGCGCTTCTTGGTGTGTTCTGGGTAACAATCAAGATTGGCGGCCAAGGGTACACTCTGGTTAACGCCTTCATCGAAAATCATTTAATGCATAGTGTAACTGTTCCCCAAGACGATGAGATCTACGACCATGTCAAGGCGTGGCTGTCCAAGCAGGAACGTGTGATTAAGACCTCGCGCCTCGTGGCCCAGACCGTGAAGAATGACGACTGCGACGACAAGGATCTTGAAAATCTCGACGTTACAGACGATGGTGATGAAACCCCCGATCAGCAACGACTCAACGTGTTGAAGTTGATATCCAGAGTAGTAAGGACTGTAACTTCTTATTGTGCCACCACGCTTGATTGCTGACCCTTTTTGCAGCGCCATCAATACTTTCCAGCGATAGGAAAGACCAGGTTCTGGCATAAAAACAGATATTTTGTCGTACATCGTTCGAAGAATGTAGTCATGGAAACTTCCGAATTCCCGCTGAAGGTGAATGCGGACGAAGAGATTAAAATCTCCTGTTTGTGGAGTTCGAGGGGTATGTTCAGCGCCACGAGCCCTAAGTAAGGCTCAACTAACACTATGCTAGAGCCTATCGACAAATTGTTACTCGAAGCCAAAGAGATGTACTACTGCGAAATGAAGAAAAGGACCATAATATATCGGCCCGAGGTTGTGGACCACACCAACAGACCCAGTTCATGGCGCCTAGCCGCAAAGCGTCCCAAGCGATCCAAGGAAACAGTTATACTTCCCGGAGCGATAACAGATTTCCTTCTACCCGACATTAGAGAATTCCTCATGACCAAAACTGAGCGATGGTATACTGCTCGTGATATCCCCTGGCGCCGAGGATACCTCTTTTTCGGGCCACCGGGGACCGGAAAGACGAGTTTTGTCGCTGTGATAGCCGCATATTTTCTGCTTGATATCTATACTGTTAATCTGAGTGAGCCTAATATGACGGATGCGAATCTTTTGAGACTCTTTCGTGATCTTCCCCGACGATGCATGGTTCTGATAGAAGATATCGATGTATCGGGTATACAACGCGATAGAGATTCGAAAGGCGTCGAGAGGAATCAAGGGACAGCCAATAGGATAGGAATGATCACCAAAACCTTTTCGTTTGGTGGTCTCCTGAATGCTATTGATGGTGTGGCGGCACAGGAGGGTCGCATCCTTATTATGACGACAAACAAGCCCGAGTCACTAGATGAAGCTCTCATCCGTCCTGGCCGCGTGGATGTCAAAATTGGGTTCCACAACGCCACAAAACAGCAATCTGCGGCATTGTTCTGTCGAATGTATGGGGATTCCACTCCCCTAGAGCCAAACAAGCCAGCTAGCAAGGGAATCAAGGACCAGAACAGCGACAAAGTCTCCCTGTCGCAAGAGGAAATCAAAAGCCTTTCAGAAGAATTTAGCGAGAAGATTCCAGACCGCTTGTGTTCACCCGCCGAGATTCAGGAGTTTATGCTTTTACGAAAGGAAGATCCTAGAAAGGCAGTTGATGAGGTGGAAAGTTGGGTGGAGAAGATGAAGGAGCAAAAGAACTCCGGTTCTAATTAGGACGGTGTAGGGTACTTCCCCACTGTGCAATGAAGGAAGGGGCGAAGCCAACAATGGTGGTTGCAGGACCTGAAATGTCAAGCGCGCCTAAGACTGCTGAGGTACACGAGTATGTCAACTTGGAGATTTTGTTTTGTTTTTGAATTAATATATTTAAAGTGTCACAATGTCTTGAAAAAAAAAACACGAATGATAAGTACTACGATGCACTTAATCCTACTTTAGTCCGCAGAAGCAGCAGCAGCTACCCTGCACATTTATCCAAGGTTCATCGTCGCCCCACCACATGACATCGCTGCTGCATGCTATCCACGACAGCTTTTCCCCCGTCTCCAATATCAATTCGACGACGGGGACAAGCCTGGCCATGCCAACCCCTCCGCTCCAGACCAGCACACGTACGCACACACTTAACCACACCTGACCATGTCAAATATACAGCCCGCAGCCCAAGGCACGAAAGAGACGGGGCTGCGCGTGCCCAGCAATGGCAAGACAATCTACCACCGCCCGCTCAACCGCACCAAGACGGCCGAGCTGAGCCAAGCGAGCTTCGCCTACCTGTTTAGTGAGATGGTCACCTATGCGCAAAGAAAGGTAAAGGGCATCCAAGAACTCGAGCAGCGGTATGTACGCCCAAATCCACAGCCAACCGTGATCTCTAGGGAAAAAAAAGGAACAAAGGGAAACGAATGGCCAACTAAAACCTCGTTTAACCTAGGCTCAACGAACAAGGACACCCCATCGGCCTCAAGCTCCTCGACCTCCTCCTCTACCGCGAGCCGCCGCGCTCGCAGCTGCGCCCCCTCAGCATCATCTCCCTACTACACTTCATCAAGCAGAATGTGTGGCAGCACCTGTTTGGCCGGCAGGCGGACCGGCTGGAAAAGTCCAACAACCCCGACACGCCCGACGAGTACATGATTATCGACAACGAGCCGCTCGTCAACCAGTACATTAGCGTGCCGCGCGAGATGAGTCAGCTGAATTGCGCGGCGTTTGTGGCCGGCGTCGTCGAGGGTGTTTGTGACGGAGCGGATTTCCCGGCCAGGGTGACCGCGCATACCGTCGGCGAGGGGGACATGTGGCCCGGCAAAACTGTGTTCTTGGTCAAGTTTAGGAGCGAGGTTGTTGAGCGGGACGGACTTTTAGCGAAGAGTTGATCATGTTCTTTTTTTGGCCTTTCCAAATTTCCTTTGAAGCGGGGAGGGAAATGACAAACGTTGGGCGTTTCTGGTGTTGGTGTCTGGATTTGGGTTTAGGTTTGGGTTTACTGGGGAGTGATATCCTGTCGTGGCATGTGCTTGTATTCGTAAACGCCGCGCTAAATGAAAGACTCATAACTCTGGTCGTTGCTGACCTCGAAGGCAAGAAACAATGCCGCTATCGTGTCTACCTAGTGCCTCTGTGCCCATATCCAGCATCACACGCAAGTGAGACTTAACCACCATAACATGCCCGACTCTACCTGGGCATCCGCTTCCCGCTCACGCCCTTTGGCGGGCCCTTCCTCATCAACTCCCCCAGGCCCAAGTCCTTCCATGCCGCTCCCCTCACCTCCTTTGTCGCACGCGTGATTCCAAACGCAGCGTGCTGATCGGGCACCACGTCATCCTCGTCCTCCGGGTTCAGCGGCTGGTGCTGCGGCGGGACAAAGATTTCATCCGAGGGGAGCTTGTCCTTGCAAAAGTCTTCAAAGAGGTCTGCGTTGGAGGCGGTTGACATGTGTACATATGTGAAGGATGAGTCCTTGTTCTGCGCGCACGCTTGTGTTAGTGATGATACTCGCGGGTTATTTGGTTTGAAGCACGTGGCTACGACACGGAGTGGTTGGTAGGTGCAAGTAGAGACGCGTCGATACACGTACCATTGTGGAAAAGCCCTCCGGGAGTCTGCGTGGTTTGGATGCTGGTTTGGGGGATGTTTTGTTCTTGTCAAGTGACATAGTGGCTGTGGTACGAGTGAGATTGATGTTTGGGTTGAATAAAGTGGGGGCATCGGAGCTTTGAGCGTCACGGTAGTCACTGTATACAGTGACTATCCAGGTACGTCGGTAACCTGCAACGAGCTATCCTCTGGATTCATCCATCAATCCATGAAAGCACTTCAAAAATGTGACAGGAAAATGGCGGGAAAAGCTTCTCTTCGATATACATTAGGAAGGAAAAAACACACAAAATCAGCGCTTGCCGAACTTACGGCCAGATCCATCGTATACTTATTGACCGCATGTTGTATGCCACTAGACCCTTTAATGTTATCGTGAACATTCTGTCTTTAACCGAATGCACCCAAACAAACAAACCCCGACTGGCAGCCTGGACCGGTTGAAAGCATCATACTTGCACAACATTTATGAACCTTGACCACATTGGTGTAGCGGCATGAGACGGAATAAACGAGCCGAGCCACGACAAAAAGTAAGGACGAAAGCCAGCTCATGTCTTTATCCTTATTACTATTTTTGCTTAACAAACAGTGTAAATGCATACCGCAAGGTAAAAATGCTCTAAATTAATCCCTCCAGCAAGCTCAGTCCAACCATTAGGGACTTGGTTGCCTTGTAAAAAATACATCCTCCAGGGAAACGAATGTAGACATCATGGTACACTAGTCCGACATAAGAATACATTAGTTGGGAGAATACCGAGTTCCTGAGCCGCCCGTCCTTTTCCCTTTGTCAATAAATTCTTCCTTTATGTTGTTGAGATTCTTTTTTCATCGGCTTTCCACGCGCCAGAATTTCCAGCCTTCTCTTTCGCCGCCGTCTCTAACGCCGACGAGCTTCTCAACACCTTCAGTGCCTTCCGCATTGAGGAACTTCTCCAAGTCGATTTCCATGCCGCCCTCCTCATCTTCCTCAGTGCCATTCTTCAGAATCGCGGGCCACAAAACTCCAACACCGTCGCCACCAAGAGTCGCCTCAAATTTTGCGTAGTTCTCCTTGTCTAGTCGCTCCTCGAGCTCATCAAGCTTTGCTCTTGGAACGTCGGGCCGCAAAAGTGTGATTGAACACCCGCCGCCGCCGGCTCCAGTAAGCTTCGTCCAGCCAATGCCCTCGTGATCAACCAATTCGCGCACTCGTTCCAACCGGGGGTGCGAAACACCTAGCGAGACTAGCAAACCGTGGTTAATAGTCATGAGCTCGCCGACCTTCATTAAGCTCTCCTCGTCCTCCTCGTCGAAGTCGTCGTCGGCGATCAGCTCAGATGCGGAGCTAGCCACCTTGTCCATTGCATCCAGAATCGATCCCACTAGCTTCGGATGCATTTTATTCAGCTTGCCCACCTTGGCAACCTCGTAAGCCGTTGACTTGGGCTGCTTGGTGTCGACAAGGAGTAATGGAAGCTCTGGAAAGTCCCAGAGTGGCTTCACAGCCGGCGGCTTATTGTAATCTAACCTCTGGAATACCACAGCTTTGCCTTGTGTGGCCACGGTATTATCTACCCCTGAAGGATTGCCGTGAATGCACATCTCGTATACAAAGGCCCATCTGTTGATACGCTCGATCTGTAGCCGAGCCTCCTCAGGCGGCTGGTCGGGGTGAGGTCCGGAGAGTGTGCGTAACTGGATGAGCAGGGCAGCAGATACGCATACCGCAATGGAGGCGCTACTTCCCAGGCCAGCGCCAATTGGTATTGTAGAACGCAAAGTGTAAAGGCAGCCAGGGAATGAAGGGGATCCAAGCGAGAGAAAGAGGTAAAGAAAGGCAAAGGCGCCGTTTCTGTGGACTCGGCGGATGTCCTCTGGGCTGTCTGGAGAGACGTCAACATGAGGCTCAAGGGCGGCGACGAGATCGGGGTCGAGTTCGGTGACGAGGGAGTAATAGGACTTCTTCTTGGAAGGCTGCTGGAAAGTGTCCCATGGAAGTTCGTCGATATTCCACGTGTGCACGAGGTCGATATCGGTAAAACGCAAAGAGACTGTTCTCTTAGACTTGGAGAGGGTCGTAACGTGAAGATAAGATCGCAACGAAATGGCAGCAGCAATGGCGGCCTGAGACGATGAGTGATGGTCAGCATATGCAATTGGACGGGTTACTTGTGTACGAAATCTTGGAGGCATCCTAGACTCACCTTGCCATAGACAACAGAATGCTCTCCAAAGACGATGACTTTGCCCGGCGCAGATACCATAAAGGCCGGGGCCATTGGACTGGACTGTTTTCGGTCGGCCTTTATGCGATGCACCAGAGGCCCATCGCCATTCACATGGGGCTTGCCATTGCTTGGGCCGTTGGTGCCATTGCCATGCACGCCTTTGTGCATCTCGGAATCTCGAATGACGCCTTGTCAGTCGGATCGTTGGGGGCGGACAGCGAAGGAGAGGAACCTGGCTGGCGTTGTGGTTGTCGTTTCGAATATCCGTACTAAAAGACTTTCCTCCTCCTCTCTCTTTCGTTGTCTCCAAACTTTCTCCCTCTTCTCTCTCTGTTTTTATTTGTTCCTTGGGGCCGAGTTGTGCGGCAGAGATTCGAGGGCGTAATCCGAGGGGCCAACAGCTCTGCAGGTCAGGTGGTTGCCGATGAAGGCGCACCTGGGCTCTAGCTAGTATGTATGCACCTTGTGCTGGGGCCTGCTCTCTTCCGGTGTGGAGGCGAGGAATTGGGCTGCGGCTCACTGCTGCAAGGGTCGACTGCTGAAGCGGGCAGGGCCGACTCCCAAGACAGCGTCCTGCATATGTGTGTCGACTGAGCAGGATTTCAAAGAGGAAGGCTTGCGGACTGGTTTTGAAACATGGGAAAAAAGGGAGACAGAGTCGTTATCTCGTTGTACGGGGAGGGAAAACAACAAGTAAGATGGGCAGGCGCTCATCTTAATATTTACCTAAAGTACCTAATCTACCTAGGTACCTAGATAGGTGCCTGATCATTGAATGGACCAACTATCCCCCGAGTGTAACCGGATTCCTTGAGCGACTTGAGCGACAGACATTAGCCAAATGACATTTCTCGTTGTATGTACTACTCGATCCACCCTCCAACCCACCATCTGCATCCCGCATTCCCAGTGGCGGAGACTCCCTTTGGTCCCTTTTTTAACTTATTCCTCGACGACGAGACGACGATAACGGAATCCGGAATAGCAAATGTGGAGTCTTGGTAATCTCCAGCTCCTAATTGGAACGCTACTGAAGCCGAAAAACATGCAACATTGGCTAGGAGATCCGCGGGCATCTCAATGGTAGTACTACTAGTACTACCACCAAGGCAGGAGTCAACTGTCGTCTTGTCGAAATATGCATCCGCCTCCGCCCATCAAAGACTACGTAGAGGCAGGGGGTTGAGGTGTGGACGCACTTCGTACGTTCAAAATATTGGTCATTCCAGGCAGTGAGTGGCTTGGCTGACCGACGGAAGCGCAACACAAACAACCACAACGAAACATGGCCAATCCAGGTGCATCAACGAAGACAACCAACTTCCTATCTAGACGCTCTTACAGATGCTTACTGCATAACGGCATGGACCTACAGACCCCTCTCCTTTGATTGCAGTCGCAATCAAGCCCCGAAATTAGAACGCCAACACCAACACCACCGTCTCCATCCAACAAAGTGGCCCGTCATTCACCACTGCCACAGCCACGTTTCCAGCGACCAGGGGCGCAGCCCTCTTTAATATGCTCCCGCATTCGTCCTATCCTTGCATCTCATCAGCCGATTTTTGCTGCGTCATGCCGAGTACAATGTAACGGCCTAGTGAGTGGTGATGCTTGGGAGCGCAAACCGCCGCATGACCTACGGGCACGAGCACAAGTTTATACAGAATTCCTTGGCGATCTCGTCATCTTCTTTTGTTCACACCTTCATAATCCTCTTCTATGATCTTGTGCTGCGAAATGCTCCTGATTTTGCGGCTGGATCATGCGGCTTGACGTTCCACGACTTGTACGTATCCATAACCTGCCGAAGACTCTTCCCAGAGCTCAAATCATCCAGACATGCCTTGGCTCTTTCGACGTTCATAAACATGAACTCAGTCTTGTCAACTTTGCCGACAAAGTAGCCCTGCGCGCTTGCAACCGCCTGGCTCAACTTATCCAAGACCTGCCAGCCTGCCAACACTTGTTGCCTGACTGTCTCGGCCTCGGGCGCCTGCAAAGCCGCCAACTCTCGCTGACCCTCAGCAATACGCGCGAGGCGAACAAAATTGGCCGGACTACGTCGACGTTGTATCTGCTTCGTGAGCCCTTGCATGGTGTACCCAAAGGGACCTACTATAGCAGAGATGGGCTTCAACACCAAGCCGCCTATGCCCATGCCGGCCCCTTTGACAAACCCAACTACGCCTTCATTCTTGGCGCCCTGAATTGGTAGACGAATAACCCCCGTAACGCCATCATAAACCCCCCATATGAACTCCCTGCGCGAAGCTACCAGTCCGGAGCGAATGCCAGTTACCCTCGTCGATCGTCTGACGGTATCGTCGCCATATAGTCGCGGGGCATTGTGAAGTCCCTGAGCAAGAGCAACGATGAAGAGTGTGGGAGCCCTCACGACAGCCAGCCCTGTTTTCCGCATACTTGTCGAAATATCCCTGCCGTACTGCCTCACGCTCGGCACCCGAGTGAGCGATAGCTTCCGCGTCTTTTCCTGCTTTTTTGCAGCCACGCTCGCTTTCTCGATGAGAGTATTCGATGACGATGGCCGTCTATTATCTTTGTTCTTCCCATCTCCCCTTTGCCGCAGCTTGTGCCGTATCCTTCGTTTGGCTGTCTTCCCAACACGATACGGCGCGCTCGCAATGCCGCTCAACACATCTCGCAGGGAGTTTTTAACCGATTCAGCTACAGCCGTTACGGGCTCGCCGGGCCCTTCAAAGTCGCTCCACTCCGAGTGTCGCAGCAGACGTAGCTTCTTCCAGCAGAGTTGACCGCTGTCTACTAGGATTGCCGCGGCGAGCACGCACAGCTTAATATGCGTGCCCCTAACCTTCCACACGGCGACGTCCGACTTGATTATGGAGCAGCTGAGGCTAGAAGGACCGTACATCCGGAGCTGATTCTGGAAACTCTCCATTGTGTTCATGGCACCGTCCCCGTCATGTCTAATGGATTCCCCAATCTTGCCGGCCGCCGCTTGGGCTTCTGTGGTGAGAAGATATCGAATCCCATCGGCCAGCTTATCCGCGTTAAGATGCTTGTACGGTATGGGCTGCGGGCCAGCACCAGACTTGCCTACCATGCTGCCCCAAAAGTACTGATCTCCAAAAAAGGGTACAATCATAGTTGGCAGCCCGCACTTTAATCCTATGGCTGTTGTGCCTGCTCCACCGTGATGGACACATGCCTTGATCTTCGGGAATAACCAGTCGTGCGGTATATTATCCAGCATGAAGATGTCGTCTGGCACGTTGTCTTGACCCAAGCCACCCCAACCTCTTGAAACAAGAGCCCGAACGCCGGCCTTTTTAACGGCATCAAATATCATCCGTGTGAACGCTTCTGCATTTTCCACCACGATAGACCCAAATCCTATATAGATCGGTGGCTCTCCTGCATTGAGGAAGTCCACCAGTGCCTGGGACGGCTTAAACGTTGATGCTAGATCGAGAAACACAAACCCAGAGATGCTGATTTCCTCACCCCAGTCTTCAGGCTTTGGAATCAGGGCTGGCGACCACAAGTATGTAAATGGAACATGCATTCGATATATTGCGTACGGAGCCCAGAAAGTAGACACGGCGTCTAGGGACAGCTTCTGCACGCGGAAGTCATTGATTAGGTCACCTAAGCCTTGCCACGTCATCGTCTCAACAAGGGGATAGGACATGAAGTTTGTATATCCCTTGTCACCCCCAGACTTGTTGCCGCCCTTGATAATGGCCAGGGGGTGCGGAAATGCTTGCGTCGGCGTGTAGGGAAAGGTGAAGACCAGATGCAGCGGGACCCCAAGGGCTTCGGCGCAATGGATGTGTGCAAAGCTGGGCGGATTGGCGATGATGGCGTCTGCAATAAAGATATCGTCTCTTCCCTCCATGGCATCGGCTCTTAGGCTCGTCTCCTCGTCCTCTGTGGCGTGGATGCAAGCCCGCCAAAACCCGTCAAACATGACGGCCATTGCCGCTCGACGCCTTCCGATTTCACCGGCTCTCAACGACTGAAAGGTCGGGATCATGCCGGGATTTTTCACCATGAACTCCATCAGCTCCGAGGGGTCGCCGCCCACCGAGAAGAATTCCAGTCCGGCTTCTTGTATGATGTCTCGGAAGACCGGGTGCGTGGCGATGCGAACGCGGTGGTGGAACTCTTCCTTGAGGTATTTACCTATTCGCAGGAACGGCTGGACGTCACCGCGGGAGCCAACCACCATGATGACAACATTGATCTTTTCTGGAAGCTGAGGAAGCGCCGGTATGACTTTCATCGGAACAGTGGCTCTCTTCCTCTTGGGACGCATGCTGTGTGTCACGGCGCCCATGGCATTCGCCATGTATCCTGTCCCCTGGGTTTCGTGGACCGAGATGCTCAGCCGGCCATCTCTTTGCGCCCTGCATGTTCCTGTGCAGTGTTTATTCAACTTGATGAGTCTTGAAAACCTTTTCTTGTCAGGCACGCAAGGCTTGTGGCGCACGCTCTTTCGTCGGGTGTCTACTTCCCCTTCGCTCTCGGTTGGAGACGAGTCGTCCAGGAAATCAGATGAATCCGACGCGTCGCCCTTCTCTTCTTCTACGAGGCTATCCATCAGCGGGATCCAAGCTCTGCTTGGGATCGATTGAGCCCGCTCCCGCTTGTCTGCAAAGTCGGTTGTTTGCCACATCTCCAACGCTGGGAATCTGCGCTGAAAAGATGCACCACCTGCTGGGGAGGGCTCTGAATCTCGAATCACCGGACTGTGCTCCTGTGATTGGACTGCTTCTCTTGGTTTGCTCAGGGAGCCAGTCGTCTGCAGCGGGTCGAGATCATCATCATCATTGTGGTGACGGCTCGGCATCGCGGCTGAGCCTTCAGGAGCATCCATGGCGAAGTTAGGGTTGAATGCCATTGTTCCGAGCGGCCGAGAGCTTAGGTTTCATTCAGTATTCTTGATTATGTCCGGAGTTGATGTTGTTTTACTGGGCCACATGCCTTTACATGTAGCTGGCGATGGATATGGCGATTACTCGCCTTGGAAGCATGTAAGACTCGACAGATGACCAGTCCGACGTCCGACGTCCGACGTTGATTGCTATCATGAAGCTTTATAAATGTTTCAATGGTGAGTGGCCATGTTCCAATGCGCGCCTCTTGGAGCTAGAGCTACCTGCTGCCGGAAGAACCGGCGCCAGGGCTTGAAAGTGCTAACAGTGGCAACAATAGGCCGGTCCTTTTTTGTGATTCTCTGAGAGGATGGACACCTGCCTTCCTAGGCTTCTGTAGGTGCCAGTCGTGAGCTTCACAGTCTCTTTCTGCTGGCAGTAAACTACTCAGCTACCGAATTAGTATGTTATAGTAATACACGTCACGATATAACATGATATAAGCGCGCCGACGGGTCTCTTTGTATTCCAATACATCCTTCGGACAGAAGATGTGCGGGGGCAACAATGTTTCTGTGTTGGCATGAATGGAGATGCGCAAATGTCCAGACCGCAAACCAAAACGCCTTGTTGCAACGCCGACGCCACTCAAGTTCAGGTTCCCACACCCTCACTCACTTACACCACAGCTAGGCGCGGTACTGCGAGATTCGGATGCCCCGGATCTCTACGGTTACTGCATTGGAGAAGAGTATCGAGACATGCTTTGCCATGATAACCGTGGTGGAAGCCTTGCAGACCTGTAAGCCAGTGAGGGCTGGTGTATGTGGCCGACTATCGAAAGCTCACGACTATCACTATGTCGGCGAAGCCTGTCGTGTACTGTTCGCTAATAATAAGTGTGCCAGTAATCAAGATCCTGCAGCTTGCTTTAAATGTACAAGTTGAGCTAACAAGACTCTCATAGGTGGCATCTGATGGTCAGTTGTTTCGAAGCCTCCTATGACCATAGTTATTGCTATTGATTTTGATGGTGTGATATTTCGTTTCTAAGTGGTTTTCAACCTACTACGAAACTACACGATGCGTCTGAGAAAAGTCGAGTGCAGTTTCTTTTCATGGAATGTTCAAACTCGTCATGCGTCTTCAGCTTCACGCTATTCAGGGGCCCCCTTTGTAGCCCCATGCGTCGCAGCCGCTTCGGTCCCTTTAGCGAAATCGACTCCTAGGACGACACGTTCTATAAGCACTTGGGTTCATATTCATGGTACTTGAGTGTCAAGGGCGCTGCCACATAATATACCCGCTGGGTGTCCAGTGTAGACGGCAATTTGCCTTCATGCCTCCAGTGCTGGCCTCATGCAAAGCTTCACTTCTTGAATATAGCAGCAGTCCTATATTGCCTCTACGTACTAATATTGTACTCTATCTACTAGAACTACAAACTAACAGCCCCGACACATGAGATAAGACCACGCACGGCCCCTGACGCGTATGCTTGCTCTATACAACTTGTTATACGCTCGCTTTTGCGCAAGTATGCATGAGCTGACGACTCCAAACGAACGATGCATTCGGGAAAAAGGGATCCAAGCGTATCTTCTTGCTCCCCGGCTGGCAAAGACTTCGGATCCGGCAACGGACGATCTCCGTGACGGCTACACTTCCGCCGCTATATCTAGACGTTAAGCCCCAAAGGGGAAAGGTCATTGCACAAATACGAGAGAGTGAAGCTGTGCCGGATACGTGAAACTTGTCAGGGATGTGAGCGGATAGTTCACCGGTTGCTGCTGTCAGGTCAATGTGCCCCTGTGCGTCTCGGCCGTGGAGATTCGCACAGACAATTTCCCCAGTCTCCCGGGCCGTTGACTCCTCACTCATGCTCCACCACAGGTAGTTACGAGGGAACTATGTAACGTCAGTTGTCAACGAATAACGCTTTTCTCTTTCGAGACGAGTGCTGTCGTCAGCTTTGGTGGCCAGTTGTTGTCACCAAAGGTGTTGCAACCGAGTTGCCATGGCCAAGGACTTGAGACTCCAACTCGAGTTCTTGATGGGGGGAGTCGTTGGTTGCAATGTAAAAAAGGCCCCAGATAACTTGGTTGTTGTCTTGTTAATGGTAAGCATTTCGGGTTGACTTCTCTTTGACAGCTTCAGTCGTTTGAAACTTGACAGCATCGCACCTGACAATCAACTCTTTAGCCATTGGTCAGTGACGTTTCTTGACGAGTTGGTGCTTCCGTATTTGTCGCAAGTTCGTAGATCCAACTCGATAGATGCGGGAACCATTCGCGGTTAGCCGTTTCACAAGCTATACTTGACTACGGAATGCTTCCCTGCAGGGGCTCAGCTGACGTTGCTAGATGTAGAGTTACCGCTGCCCCGAGGGCCTTGGCCACCGTACATTACCTGAAACCATCTAAAAATGTATGCTACTATCCGGAAACCAGACTGTTTTGCTTCGATACCAGAGGTGTTACAAAGAGATATTTGAGCAGTGGTCGCTTTGTTCGTAGAAGCCAAGAAACCAAATGAAGCTCTATATAAACCTTCTCTGGTAGACCAGGAATTGTCGAAGAAGGTGAGGAACTCATCGACTCTTTCCATTTTATTAAACCTTTGCACTTTACTTCCTTTTAGCAGAAGCTACTGCTCTTTAGATTTCAATATGAAGGCCACTCTTGTAATATTCTCTGCCATCTCCATGGCCAATGCCTTTCCAGGCATGTCCGAACTCCGGCATGTATCCCGTGCGCAAGATGAAGACAATACCAAGAAACTGCCTGGCGACTTGGAGGGTCAAGATGAGAGCACCATGTCTGAGACAGGGAAGCTCATTAAGAATATCTTGCAAGGCAACGAAAATCCTCAAGACCTGACCACGGCGTATTCTTCGGTCCCGGACCAAAACTCAGCCGAGTGCAAGGCTGACAAGTGTTGCATATGGAAGCACATCGCGGATGAGATGAAGTCCAAGATGACGGGAGATGCCGGACGTTGCAACAACCTCGCGAGACAATGTATTCGCATGGGATTCCACGACGCAGCAACGTGGTCTTTAAACACGGGCAAGGACGGCGGCGCAGACGGGTCATTAGTTCTAGCCAGAGAATGCTTCGACCGCAAGGTCAACAACGGGGTGACAGACGGCTGCAACCAGATGCAGGCTTGGTTCGACACGTACAAGTCCTTTGGCGTCAGCATGGCCGATCTGATCCAGATGGGCGGTACGTTTTGCACATTGCCCTCCCACGACGGGGTTTCCCAGGCGCTCCAAAGATGCCAGCAGTCGTATTTCTGGCTAACATTTCATCTGGTCATTTAGCAAACGTCGCCACGGTTGTCTGCCCCCTCGGCCCCCGAGTCCGCAGCTTCGTCGGGCGCAAAGACAACGCCAACCCATCGCCGGACGGCCTCCTGCCATCGCCGTCCGACCCGGCCGACCAGCTGATTTCTCTCTTTGCCAACAAGACCATCAGCGCCAACCAGCTCGTGGCCCTGGTCGGCGCGCACACCACCAGCCAGCAGTTCTTTGTCGATACCGCCCGCGCCGGAGACCCCCAGGACAGCACCCCTGGTGTATGGGACACCAACTTTTACGGAGAGACCACCGACGCCAATTCGCCCAAGCAGGTGTTCAAGTTTCAAAGCGACGTTAGTCTATCGCAAGATTCTAGGACCAAGGGTGCCTGGACGGCGTTTACCGGGACACAGGGACAGCGTCCTTGGAACGGGGTATGTGAGACCAAAGAAAGAAAGAAAAGAGCTGTTTGCTTTTGAGCTCGGGGTATAATTCATTTTGATATTCTGACAATTTAATCCCAGGCCTACGCCGCGGCGTACGTTCGCATGAGCATGCTGGGCGTGTATAATACCAATGACTTGACCGAGTGCACAAAGGCGCTCCCGCTGCCCATCACTTCCTTCACGTTCCCCGATGCAGCGGCCTTGGCGGACTTTGCCAACGGCGGCGCGCCTGATGCCTCCAGAAACGCGTCCAATGGAGATATTATTGTAGTCTAGTGTCGACCGGATGCTTTGCAAGACGTCGTTTGTTGCGCGAGGTGCTCTGAGTGAAGACTGGTAGGTTACCAGACAGAGGCAATTTACTTGATAATAAGACTCGGTGTGGTTGGGAATGTCATAAAGTCATAAATATCAGGAGTTTTAATAGCTAGAAAGCTAAGATGTGCATTATTCTCATCCTGTCTTGATCTTGTGTCTTGTTCTGAGAAATAACAAGGAAAAGAAAATTACCCTCTTTCAATAATAGATGCTCAAGGTAAAAACTATATACAATACCTAGCAGGAGATTTTTAAATAGAGCGGATTTCAGTTTCTAGTATCTGGTTTATATTATACGAGTATTACACGCGCTGTTTTACGCGCTGGCTACTAGATCCTACTTAAGTAAGTAAACACTAATATGTTTAGAGATTTACTTGTCACGGAAAGTAACAGCTATATTAGAGCGAATATTTAGACTTAGCACTTGAACAAGCAACTAGCTCAAATAGTTGGACTTATTATTCTATTAAACGGCAGTAAGATGTAGCCGAATACCGTGCATACTAGCTAGAAGCTACCCGGCGAGGCCCAAGCAGAATGAATCTTATAATACTAGCTAGAACTGAAGAGAGAAATGCTATAAAATACTATAAACCACCTCCAACTCGTTTCACCCGCGAATCCTTCAATGATTGCAAGTAAACGCAGACATCGCTCGTGTGGTAAGCTAGGAACAACAAGCTATATTCTCAGCACCTAAAAATATATCAAGACAATATAGCCTAATTTATATACTCGCGTATATACGCTAATATTTTCATTCAAAGTTAGGAGCTTTAAACCCCATTGCAAAGTTCCGATGACTTCTGTCTAGAGAAGGTATAAAGTAAAAAAACCAACTCAATAACGTCTGCTTGAGACTTGCAACGCTCTCCAGTTCAGCTACTATCACGGCACGATCCAATACATATGACCACAGCCACTAGACAAACCTAGTTTCGGCCAAGCGCTTGTTTCAATGCCTCAACAAATAGAGGTAATCGCATCTGGCAATCTCCCATGCAGGTAACGTGTTGTCCACGGTACTTGTAGGTGCCACCGACGTAGCCCATTGGCTCAGTCTGTAGATGCGCAGGCATTCAATACCACATAGTAGAGGGCAATGGGCGGTTGAGGATGTAGTAAGCTCCACCGGGGATACTAGCAAGCCCAAATATCTACCAACCATATTTACCACAACATCCATAGACACAGCTTGGAGAATTCTTCTTCCTCAAAGGGAGCATCCTTGAGATCCGGTCTTAGCAAAGAACGCAAGGTCACTGCCTTTTCTCTACAAGCTGTTGATTCGGCGAGCATGTCTCGAACTGCATAGACTTTTGAAAGCGTGTACAATGCTCGAGCCCGTTGGCCATCTCCCTCGACAAATGTCTCAGATATGCCGACAACGTCTTGGAGCAGTTGCCTGAAAGGTCAGTACATGCAGAATCTGCAAGCTGTGACAAGGGACCGGACTCCAGAGCACTCACATTGCTAATACTATGTGACCGTCTTTCAATAGCATAGACGCTACATCGTACTGAGAATCGCACGTTTTGAGCCGGTTGCCAAGCAACTTTCGACGAAACTCCAAAGCCTTCGATGCCAGTCTCAAGACTCAAGGCATCAGGCAATCGGCCCTGGGCAAGCCGAATGCGAGATAACAAGATCATGTCAGCTGAGAAGCGAGGGTTGCCGGTGCTGAGAAGGGTCTCATCACTAAAGTCTTTTAGGGCTGGACATTTAGCGAGACTCTGCTCAGCTTCCTTAGGACGGCCCATGCGAAGAAGAAGACTCGATATATTGCTGTAGGAGTTGCCGATTCTGTTGCTATTCGCCTTTAGCCTCAGACGAAAACTGTCGTCGTGGCCCACTGCCTTCAGAAGCAACCTACTACTATCCTCGTCACTTTCAAGCAGGCCAAGGCCATTGGCAATCGTTCGAAAGCTCTGTCCGATAGAAATGGCGTTATCAGCCGATATCCATAAGAAAGACGGGATGGGGGTTGCTGCGGAGAAAGTGGATGGTTCGAGCGTAAAAGCAGATAATATCGCTATAGATATCCAATAGGGATTGTTGGAGCTGGCGGTTAAGTGGTATTGTCTGCTCATAGATCTGCAGCCGTAGGAGAGTTAAGCTGAGCTCCACCAGCACGTCAAGAACGTCTTGGAATGTATCCGCGGCCGAGGCGGCATGCGACAGGATGAGTCGTATGCAGCCAGGTTTGCGTTAGCACCGAAGCACAGAGCCAGTACCGCCGCGAAGTCATCGATCAACTTGAGCCTCGGCGCAATACTATTGAAGGAGAGGACTGCGACATAGCTGGTCGGAGCAGAGTCTTGGATGGAGGAAAATGAAGCCATCAGTTGCTCGAGCGTGTGGACCTTCTGGATATCTTGGTAATCTGCAGCCGCTTGTAATTCCTCTTTGTACTTCCCCCAAGCCTTGTGCCACAATGAGCTCGTTATCCGGCTAAGTATGGCGGTATCAGACTGTTAGTATTCCACTTCTAGCGCTCTCAAAGGCTCTTAAGACAAACTCACTGTTCCGTCATTGATGTTTTATGCCTGGATGTACCAATGCCGCGAAATATGGAAAGGGGGGGCAAAGAGCGGGAAGATTCGTCGCAGGGTCGTCCCAAATGAGGGATGCTTCCACTCTCCAATGAGAATAGAATGATAAGACGTCGTGGTGTGTTGGTCGAATAAAGTCATTCATTAAATAAGACCCCTAGCAAGCCACCGCCGCTTTGTCACACCAGACAGTACAGACATCAAATATTACCTTTTTTGTGTGTAACAAGCCGACGCCCCAAAAGGCGAAGGATCGGACCGAACCGAAGCGCTCCCTGCACCAGGTCATGATTAGGGAGCCTAAAATATCCTTGGCAATAATGGTTAGGCATCTATACATGACCTGGCTTGGAATGGGCACTTACTGCTGCTCTCTTTCCTCCGTTATAGCCAACGCAATCGAGTAACCTTTACAGCCCAATATCAGAAGGCCATCTCCTCCATGAAGTGAAATGATCCAAAATATCCAGAAATGTCCTTTCTAACTTGGAGAAGAACGACTGGTTCCGTTGAAGAGATTCCCGGCGATACCCTTACCAGTCTTCCGTGGTATCGATGGTGGCTCTACCAGCAAATCCTCAGCCAGCCGCAACGTTTGTTCCTCAGTATACCAAACATGAAACACGAGGACGAATCGAGCTAGGACACAGGTTTCCTCCCGCTGTGGCATAAAGTTAGAGATCTTATGCTAGCCGAAGAATCAGTAACCATCGATGGAATCACAGATACACTTATTGAGAATGGGACAATATCCGTCACGGATAATTATGGCTACCAGTCAACCAGACAGCTCATCTTCGCTATTCTAGGATGGCAGACAATGCTCTACAAGCCCGATCTCCTCTCCTATGTGCATGGAGAATTCAACATCTTTGACGAGACGGATGGCTTTCGAGGCGAAGCGCGAGTCTGTCTCGTTCAGCCTGAACACTCGGGAAAACAAGACTTGCCTAGTTTTCTTCTTGGGTTCGGCATGATGCTCCCACCCCGACAATATTGCGCCTTCGACGACGCAGATGAGAAGAAGCTGTTTCACAGGACCAAAAGGATTACCCCAAAGGACCTTAATGCCGACGTGTTGACCAAGGTCTGTGGTATTAGGCTTCAGTGGGTCGACTCTCTTTCTTGTCATCTCGAGTTGGATAGGCTTTCTGGCACTCTCTTTCTGTATCGATATCCCTCATTCTGTGTCTCGATACTTCAACAGCGAAACTGTGTCTCGGCTCTTCAACTGCGAAACATGCAGGAGCAAGCAATTGATGTTATTCATCGCTGTGGGAGTCAAAGTCCTGGACCAACGCCGTGGGCGAGCGAAAGGGATATAGCGGAGCTGCTTCAGGAGATTTTACTTTCCTATCGGCTACTCTTTGGTCAAAGCAGGCGATCGAGGAACCTATTTCGCCAGCTGCGGCCGTTCCAAGGTATCCCAAACGAAGGACATGATAAGTTCCTGTCGTCAATTTGTGGCATGAAGAAATTCAAGTGCCCAATTAAGCTTATCGAGCGGGAGGAGTATGATTTGTCCGGAGACTTCTCACACTTTCGGAGTAGAATGGTACAACTAAACAGTTACACATCAAGCAAGAAGTCTCGCTCCATCCTTCAACTATGGCGGGATAAGCGCGACTCTACTGCTTGGATCGCGTTTTGGAGTGTCCTGATTTTCGGCTCGGTGAGTATACTCTTGGGTGTGGTGCAGGCAGTGTTTCAGATTCTGCAGTTTGTCCAAGGCAGTAGGTAGGGTAGAACTTCAACAAGAGGTCTTTGTATTCATGGTAAATCAATTTGTTGTTCACACTGTCGCTCCACCCAGCTTGCAATCACGCCTTCAACCGTTGGTTCGTACTCCTTCAAAGTGATTGTGTCCCCATCACGAAACGTATTAGCTTGGACAAAGACGAGCGGAGGGGGTTTATTCACAATCACTGTCTCTCGCCACTCGATATACTCACCGTCTACACTTGACAACTTCTCATAGTATGTTCGACAGCCTTCCACATCTGCTGTACATCGAAACACGTGCAGATGCAAGAGCATCTTTCCCAAGGCCGGTTTCCCATGTGTACGAATTTTAGACCGGTCCACCCGAACTGTCAAACGTTGTTTGGGCTTATTGCGTGATATAGTTATGACACCACCGCCGTTAAGAAGCAAGCACTTCAGTATGGCAAAGTGAGCCTATATGGTCATCAGCAAAGCAGCCTCTGTGATGAATGCCCATATTTCGGTTACTACTCACCCGACTGTGCGCCTGACCCCATTTCTAAGAAGTAGAGATGTTAGGAAGACAGTTTTCCCTCTCAAAGCATAGGTATAACTTACATTACTTTGCACGTTAAAGTTCGAGAGTCCCCGTAGACCATCAACGCCCAGCTGCAAGTACAAATTGTACGTCACTGTCGTTGCCGTGTTAGTAATATTTACTCCTCATCCGATAGGGCTGTACTGACAGTCTTCGGCATGAATATTGGACGTTTCAGTGAAACCAAACATTTCAAGAAGCTCCGAATCATCCATTAAATAAGCTCCCACTAGTTCAGCCCTACACTCGTCGACCGTAGTTGCCAGTTCACCAAATTGACCCGTCCAAGTTTGACCTGGCTTGTACCAGCTTGAAATAGGTCTTCCAGTGAGGGGGTTGACGGGTGGATTCTCGATATCAAAGTTGAATTTTCCGTCCATACTTTCAACCATCATTCGCCCTGTACCATGGCCAAGGAGCTCATGGAGCACAACCCACCAATAATAAGCCTGGAACTTGTGCTCCCTGAACTTCTCAGCTTCAGAATCTTCAATAAAAGGGTACTGCTTTGCTTGGCTCTCAGCAATCATTCGATTAGAAATGATGACATTCTTGAATCCATTTTCTTGCCGAATATCATTATACTATAACTGGTTGTTAGTCCACAGAACAAGACCCAACGATGTCGGGCATCAGAACTAACATTTGGTAAGTTGATTCCGGGAAATATGATGCTTGAGCAGTACGCAAGAGCTACGGTCTCTAAGTTTTCGGTCTCTGTGTCACAGGTGTATTGTCACTCACCATGAATGCTCGAGAAGTCGGGCGGCTCGAATAGACTCTTCTCGAACGGCCCTTTGCCATCATTCTCTGGGGTTGCCCAAGGCAGTCGGCGGATGAACTTTGCCGAGTTGTCAACTAGTTCAGCAAGTAGCCTGGTCTCTGAATCATCTGCAATGGCCACCGGAGCTTCGAATTCTCCTCGAATTCCTTGCGGATCGCGATATGGCTCGACGAATCCAAAGATATTCTCTACCCTAGGCGCCTTGTCCTGAACCCATAGCCTTTGAGACGTGCGATATATGTCCAGGCTACCGGTTTGGAAGCTTTCGATGTACGCACTGAGAATATTTCTCTGCAAATCGTTGGCCGCGTATTTGGAGGCTTCGTTCAACTCTGCACAAACGAGTTGGAGATCAGACGAATGATCTCCCTTCAGAAGTCTCACATGTCCTTGGCCACTTGGGAGAGAGAACTGGGCAACGAGTCCACGTTCAACAGATGCAATGAGGACATCGTATTCAGTGCCATCTTCAGACTTTCGAAGCCTAGTATTCTCAGGGAATACGGCGTTCTGCTCAAGAATCTTGGACACAATGGCTGCGTCAGATTCACTGATGGCATTCCCCAGATAGTAGCTGCTTTGAGACGTCTCGCTGGGAAAGCCTAGGTTGAAAGGCGGTATGGATTCGATGGACTTGTGTATCTACTCATATAACTCTCTCAATACCGAGAATCGATCTGCCAGCTTCTTCAGGACATGATTTTCTATGCCAGGGACAAACTTTTGATCCCCGGAGCCCTGTAGGAGTCAGCATTACATCGTGAAATATGGGTCTCAGCATCGGGACGCACATAATAGTTCCCAGCATTGGAGAGAAAGGTAGCCGCGTAGGTCAGGAACTTCTGGAGGTCATCGCTGCTAACACCTTCCCCAATGAAAGAATGCCAGTTGCCAGAACAGGTGCGATGGAGCTCGATGATGAAGTCGAAAATTGAAGATGATTCCGGAGAAACTTGTTGCAGAATGATCCTCGATCCGAGCCAAGCAGCGCTAGATATGCTGTTCAGCATGCCACTTGGCCAGTATTGCGGGGTTAGTGCTTACCGAGCCATGTGATGCGCATATTGTTTCTCCCTGCCAGTGAGGCGCTCAAACTGGGTCGCGATACCCAACTTAAAGACTTGGACTTGATGTACCGCCATTGCGAGTCAGACTGCTTGGCGAATCTGTATGCTCAATCGGCGCATGTGGAAGTACAGAGAAATAGATGAGTGTCACCATGTGCTGATTGTGTTAGGCCTCAATACCACTTGGCCCCCGACAAGAACCGCATGGACTGTTGGGCAATGTTGGGGGAAGGCGCCTGCCACATGCATTTAAGCATTGACATACGTTACGCCGTAGAGTACCCTGTACCACATATCCGGTGCATTTATCGAGACTTGACACTCGCCTTCTTCAATAGAGCGACCAAGGCAATTGAATCGCAAGTTGTTTGGAGTTGCCCAACCTTGAACTCGAAGCCGAAGGAAACTGCTTTGCCAGACGAAATGCGATCTGCAAGATACCAGTACTTGTACGACGTCTGGCTCTGACTGGCGATAGTTGTGGCTGTTGAGGTGGTCTTCTGTCTACGGAAAGATGGAAACAAAAACCGTGCCTGAATTCAATCGCCAGTTCAAAAGTTCATCTACAAACAGGAATAAATGAAGGTTGTACAAATGCCCCCGCTCGGTGAGCAAACGGTTTCGACTGCAATAAAGATCAGGTGCCGGTAACTCCAAGAAGTCTTCGAAATATTTGGGACCTTTGAAGCATTCCAATGAAGTAGTCTGATACTAGATTACTAGATGTCAAGGGTCCATATTTAGTTGCTTCGTGATAGTTGTGAATCGTAGGAATATATGAATAAGCAAATGACGGATGTAGTGCGCCACGGATTAAAATGATGCGGAAATAGAGGCCCAGGGTCAAATTACCCAGCTCGAAGCTGAGAAGAGAGCGTTTTCTCGGCTCTTGACGCGATTTGGATATATTCAAAAGATGATAGAGGAATAACGTTCCCAGGTGGTAATTTGGGTCGTCAACCCAACCCTAACCCCAGTACTCTCTAGGTTCGAATGGATGGGGCCCACTTGCGACCCCGCAGTTCCCGGGAAGCTGGCCAATCATAATGGACGAGGCAATCCCCATATTGTACTTCTGCGGCCTGCCTCATTGATTTGCCTTTCCCCAAACATGCCGTCCGGCGTCAATAATGGCGCATTACAGTACCATACCCTACTGCATACTGGGCGACAAACTGTTGACAGGTAACTGCTGTGCTTCATGACCAAATACTTTTTGCCCCGCTTTAGATGACATGCACGTGGAGAGCCCATCTACATGTTCGCAGGGATGGATTTGTCCCAGGAACCTGGCAGCTCTAGAATCAGACATGGAGGCTATGAGATTCAGAGATCAATACCATTAATGTGCACGGTACAGCGCAATGAAACTAATCCAAGGCCCAGGAGTCGTTGAGAGGAGGAGAAGCAACTTGGAACGTTTCGATTCCGAATATTCCGGCATATGCACTGTGTTTGTGCGGTATGGCGCCGCCAGATTTACCAAGGCCGATATCTCAAAGAGCGTTGAGTGTGATGCGCATATCCTCTCAATGCCACATTCCCATCGCTCACATGAATACTCTTCTATTCAGAAAAAAGTACCATCTATAGACTCACGGATAATCCTTGAGTCTAGTAGCCTTTGCTGGTGGCCTTCTTCCTCTGGAGTGGACGCTGCCACATCCCTCGTCATCAACTTCAAGCACATAGACCAGCTCATCCAACCCTGAAGAGAAGACCAGTATCACTACAGAGATGGAACCCTTTCCTCGTCTGGATCAAGATGCTCAGACAGAACAACTCTCACGGCCGTCCACCGTCCAAGACTCCAACCGGGCCGTGGAGAATCGTCCTGCATCGTCTTCCATAAGTTCCTCTTCCATTGGTGAACGCCTCCGTCGCGTGTCGACAAGTTTTGAACAATCCGAACTCCCTGGAGGCTTCTTTGCCGCCACGGGCGGAATAGCTTCGTCCATTCTCTCACGCCAGCCTGTTCCCCGACCCATTTCCGACTCGATCGGCTCGTCATCGACCGAAGCCCCCCCTGCTGCTCTTTGCAGCACAGCATTCACATCAACCCCATGCCAGGCTGTTTCCGAAGAAACCGGCGCCGAGGCCAGATACGATGGCCGCACCGGCACGCAAACAAAACCCAGCCCGCTGCGCGAGTCTGTGTCCGAGCCCGCGTCCGCCGCCGCTTTTGCAAACGGCTACCACTTCCCGCCGAAACACTCCTTCTGCGAATCGGTGAAACTCAGCTCTCTTGCCTTTTGGCGATATCTTCTCACTCCCATGGGCTTTTTCGTCACCGTGTACGGCCTGAATGTGGTGGCATGGGGCGGGATGCTGTTCCTCCTTCTTTGCAACGCTGGTACGTCAACCAACCAAACCCCCCTTTTTCGTGTCAAGAGACATTATACATGCATAAAAGACAAAATAAACAAAATCTAAATATTGCATTCTTAGCGCCCGCAATGTGCCATCCCACCTGCAACGACATCAACTCTCCAAGAAGAATATGGATTGAAATTGACTCTCAGATTCTCAATGCCCTCTTCTGCGTGACTGGATTCGGCCTCGCTCCTTGGCGGTTCAGAGACCTTCATTTTCTTCTACAATATAGGTTCTACAAGAAGATGATTGCGCTTCGCCGGCTAGCGGGCATTCATCGAGGGTGGTTCCGGCTGCGCGGCTCGAACGAACTGCCGTTACACCTCGGCCCGCGTAATGTTGGCCAAGACGAATTCCAATCAGCTCCACGTTACGCGATCCCCTTTCCGGAGATCAAAGTCCCCGAAATTCCTCTCACAGGAGTGCGAGCTCGGCCCACGGTTTTATGGAAGCTAGACCTTGTCATCTGGCTCATGGTGTCCAACACATTCTTGCAGTGTGCCCTTGCCGGGCTCATGTGGGGTATGAATCGGTATAATAGGCCGGGCTGGGCCACGGGACTCCTCATAGCTCTGGGTTGTGTTGTTGCCGGGGCTGGCGGACTCATCATGTTTCTGGAGGGGAAGGTCGTCAAGAGGATAGAAGGTGTGCCGGTAAGCGAGAAGGATCTAGCTCGATTACAACAGGACAGAGAGAAGGGTGTGTGGCACTTTAATAACATCAAGGATAAGATTGAGCGACGTCGAAGTCAGTCCAAGGTCTGATGACGCGCCGTCCGGGCACATGGACCGGGTAGACGCTGCGTTTCGTGCGTGTTGCTGGTTTACGCGTGGATGGTGTCTGCAGGAAGTGCTGGCGCCGCGGTGCCTGCGGTTTTACGACGCCATGTGGCTAGGAATAGGGGAGAGGGACATTCTCAGCTGCTTGATTGCTCGGATCACTGGCGTTTTGGAGACGGTGCTCGTGTCGTCTACCGACGAGGATATCGTGGATGGCAAGGCGCCGCACGACAAGGGTGGAGGATATGTCGTATAGCCTGCTGGACATTCTCGATATCGACATGCCGATGCCGTACGGGGAGAGACAGAGAGTATTCTACCGCCTGCGGGAGGAAGTCACCCGGAAATACAACGACCTCTCCATTTTTGCCTGGACGGGCCCGGCGACAACCACGCTCTCGCTCCCGCGCCGTCCAGCTTCATCCAGGACCACGGCCAAATCAGTGGCAAGACACACACCCGCGACATCCACCTCGGCAGCCGTGTCAACACCCAATTCTCGCTCACAAACCAAGGCGTCGTCTTCCCTTCGGCTAAGCTCTACTCGCAGCATCAACTGCCCCTTTCCGCCCACCAATACGTCCTCTACCTCAGCAAACACCACGGCCCCTATCCCCACGACGACGCCGTCACCTACAAGCGTCGCATGCTACTCCAAAAAGTCGGCCCGGGCCTCTTTGTGCGCCTCCAAGAAACGCCCGACCGCACGGCCGCCTTCCGAGGACGGCCCGCCATCGATCCCTGCTGGGAGCCAACTTCACCTACTATACCCATCAAATGCGTAATGATGAGAATCTATGTCATTGAGGTGTGGGCGACGGTAGTTCTTGACTTGACATGGACAGTATGTTTTGATTCATATTGCGCTATATACTTTTATTTTGATGCCATTCAACTTTACTTGCCTCCCGTCTTACCCGTGGGAATGTAGAACAGCACAACTCTCTTGCCCTTGAGACCAGCCTCGCCGGGGGCCCAGTCATTCAGGCCCTTGTCTACTCTGTAGAAGCCACGTCGCTCAAGCTGAATAATATCGTCCTTCTTGAGCTTGCCAACGCCGCCGTCACAGATGGCGTCTACAAGGCTGAAGGTGTCGGGGTTCAGGAAATCCTCAACATTGTCGTCCTCCTCGAGCTTGTCCTTGGTGATGAGGTAGTCAAAGTCCCACAGCTCGGCTGGCACGGGCTCAAGACCCTCAGCAGAAAGCCAAGTAATCTTCTTGTCAGTAGACTTGAAGTCGCCCTTGAGGTTAAGCTCCATGGTCATGGTCGTAATGGGGTCCTCGGAAGGGATCTCGCGGACAAAAGCGTTGCCCCAGCCCATCAGAGTGATCTCCTCGTTTAACTTGAAGCTCTTGGCGTCTTCCTGGTCAATATATATCTCAGGGGAGTACACTACATCCTTCATGCCCACGTCGGGGTTCTTGGGGTGCTTGGGTCGCTGTTCGGTGACGACGCCTGAAGGAACCTCGGCACCAGTGAGCTTTACCTTGACGGCGTTGGCCTGGAGAAGGGCGGTGTGGCGAGCAACAACAGGGTCGATTTCCTTCTTGTTGGCAGCCCAGAAGCTGGTCCAGTCCATGGTGACGACGTTACGGCTGGGTCCTTGGCGGATGATGAAGTCTCGCAAAGCAGTAAGAGTCATACCACGACGACGAACACCTCTGATAGTGGGCATTCTGGGATCGTCCCAGCCCCAGACCCTGCCAGAGTCAACAAGTTTAGCAAGCTTACGCTTAGACAGGAACGTCTTGACAAAATTCATTCTCGAAAAGTCCCACATGTGAACCTGTCGAAGGCCTAGGGTATCCAGGAACCACTGATACTGGGGGTTGCGATCAGTGTACTCAGTGGATCGCAAAGCGTGGGTAACGCCCTCATAACTATCGACAACGGGGCATGCAAGATCATACATGGGATAGATGTTCCACTTGCGGCCGGTTCGGTGGTGAGCGTTCTCGATGTTGCATCGGTAGATGACGGGGTCACGCATGGCCTTGTTGGGGTCATCAGCGGAGATCTTGGCACGAATGCAGTGAGCCAGACCCTCCTCAGAGGCCTTCTTCATCTCCTCAAAGATGCGCAGGTTCTCCTCGATGGATCTATCGCGGCGCTTGGAGGGGATACCATCCATTCGCTGGGCTCTCATGGTCTCCTGGTCAGTATCGTCCGCATAGGCTTTGCCCATGGAGATGAGTTTCTTGCACGTCTCATATAGGTACTCGAAGTAATCGGAGGTGTATGTCAGAGCATCGGGCTTGATTCCCATGAGAGCAAGGTCCTCGACAATTGCATCCTGAAACTCCTCGCTCTCTTTGGCAGGATTGGTGTCGTCGAGTCGGAGACGCATTTGGCCCTTGTAGGCAACATGACCGAAGTAGTCGCTGAGAAGAGCCGCTTTGGCGTGTCCGATGTGTAAATAGCCACTGTAAAAGTATTAGCATAGTTTCCACGCACGGGCTAAAATTAATATCAACATACGAAGGCTCGGGAAGGAATCGAGTCACAACGCCCTTGTCGGCATCCTGAAGTGCCAGGTTGTAGTTGGCACCACCCTTGTTTGCAATGGCCTTGCCCTTAGTGGCGTCCTCTTGAAGCTCAGGATGAGTCTGCTCAAGGAAAGTGAACCATCTAGTCAGGTTAGGGAGTCCATTTCGTCGGATGAACCCAATGGCGACCTTGTTTCCTCGTAGAGTCTGCCAAATCTTCTTCTCAAGATCTCCCAAGGTGTACCCCTCCAGGTAGGTTCTGAGAGTCAGGTGCTTATCAAGGTCCCGCAAACGGGGCTCAATGGAGCGGAAATCTCCGGAGAGATTGCTCGCAAGATTGTCGAGCTCCTCGTGCTTCATTTTCAATGTTCAGTGTCCAAAGTGGCGATGCAAAAAACAAAAGGCTGGATGAGACGACCGTTGACACTATATTTCCGTGAGTCAAGTCGTTTTCGGTGGTGGGGTCGAGGGCAGCATCTCATGGAGGGAGGGGCTTTGAGGGGCCCAACTAGGCGCCAAACACGCTGGCCAAGTCTGGCTGGCTCTGCTCGCATTATCGATAAGCACCGACGCGACGAGAATTTTCAGGCCTAACTTACCAGGCATGGAACTGCCAGCGCCCTGTTCGGCCTTTTTGCGCATGATGCAAGCTCCTATTGACATTCCTGGGAGCTTCATCAAGCACGGCAACGATGACGGCAATCGACAGATGCTTGGCCTCAATGGCCAGGCTAAGCATCGCGCAGGTGACACGGCCATCTACGACGTCAATACCAAAATTTCTTGCACCCGCATTCGTTCAGACCCGTCAGGCTTCTGTCGTCAGAATCAAGAAAGTCAAGAAGAAGCGTGCCATCCCCAAGGACTTCAAACGACACAACCTCGAAAAGCGACAATTTCCCCAGTTTTCACTATGTGAGGCTATGCGGTATGCCAAAGTCGTTTCCCGAGTAAAAATTACGCTACGTGCATGTACTAATGGATCTCCCAGTGTGCTCCGTGCTGTCGAAGTCGGCCAGCCTCCTGCATCCATCAAATATGAAGTCCATATTAACCTCAAAACCGCACGAAACGGGCCCGTTGTTAAAAATAGCATCCGCCTTCCGCACCCCGTCCAAAGTGACTGGCAGATTGCCGTCATTTGTCCCGAAGGAAGCGACATTGCCACCGCGGCGACAGCCGCTGGTGCCGTCGCCGTTGGAGAAGAGACCCTTTTTGAAGCTATTCGCAAAGAGAAGATCGACTTTGACCGCCTTATTTGCCACGAGGCTAGTGAAAAGGCCCTAAATAAGGCTGGTTTGGGGAAGATCTTGGGTCCCAAGGGACTCATGCCCAGCAAAAGAATGAAGACAATTGTCAGCGACGTGACCAAGTCGATTCGCGATTCTGCTGGCGCAGCCGACTACAGAGAACGGCAGGGCGTTATTCGCATGGCCATTGGTCAGTTGGGGTACACCCCCGATCAGCTAAAGGTCAATATCCAGGCTCTGTTGAAGAAGGTCAAGTCCGAGTGTGCTGAAATCTCGGAAGAGGTATCCAAGGAGGTACATGAGGTGATTCTAAGCACTACCAATGGGCCTTCTCTAAGCCTCAATGGAAAATTTAATGATGTTGAGGGAGAGACGCAGCCCGAGGCTTTGGCGGGCGTCATGTAAACTCATTGGAGTAGGGAAACGTGTGTATATTGTACAATAGTCGGGTCGTCGCATTAGAAATCAAACGCGTCGTATGGTTTTCTAGAGGGTAAACATGTGGCCTAGTATTATGATGATGTATAGTGTATTCTATCGCCAGGCTCTTCAGTTTTATGTTTGTGCTAATCGCACTAACCGCCTCTAAGCGCCCTGATGGCCTCTCTTTGGGCATCCAGCATGCGGTATATGGCCAGATATTTAAGTACTCGATCATGTCCCTGGACGCCAGCTCCTTTCGCTTCTTTCAGCGCATTGCCCAGGTCCAACAGCAGAGTATTCCGGCATCTGTTCAGCCGTTCCCCCAGCTTCAGGACAAACGGATGTTGCTGATCGAGGGGCTCTTTCAACAGAATAATCTCGCCACACTCCTTTGCCGATGGCAATAGTTTGGCGGGCGGGCTCCCCAGCAGCCCTGCCACAGCACCCTCATCTTCCTCTTCGTCACTGCTATCCCAATCCCACTCCTTTTGTCCCGCGCCTGCAGGTAAACTGTCGACGGATAATCTCTCCTCGAGAGCAGACAATCTATCATCAATTTCAAGCATCTTTCTCCCCTGCTCGATATCTAAGCGTACATGACGCAGCTCGTCGTTGAATTCTCTCGTCTCGTCTCTCCTCTTGGCCACCTTGACCTTGACCTCCTCAACGGTTCGTCGGAATCCCAACAGGGCCACTTTGACATCTTGGACCTTCTCATCGCCACCTTTGAGTTCGGAACCCAATGATAAAAATGCAGTGTAGTTGGAGTTTACGAGCTCAACAAGTTCCGAGCTGATGGTTGAACTGCGATCGCGAAGGTCGGACCGTAAATCTTCGAGGGTCTGGTGGCGGTGAGGGAGGGCAGAGAGATATGCGGCCGGGTCAAAGTCCGGGACGAGAAAGTCGGATCGTGGCAGGGCCGCTGGGAAGGGGAGAGGAGCGTCATTGTCCGGGTCGACATCTGAGGAGTCGGAAGGGAGGTTGTATGATGTTGGCGTGGATGAGGTGGGGCGCTGGTGGGAAGGAACTGCGAGGCTGGCCATGCTGAGTCTTGGTTTTGGGTATTTTAGTTTTCAGACAGACAAAGCGGCATGCTACATCCCTGGGGAGAAAACGCGCAATGTTGCAGCTGACAGAGTCGTCTCTAGAGATTCGCGGAAGCTGTCTGGTGACTCGAGACCAGCAACAAAAGCCCACTTTACCAACACCAGACTCTGGAGGGTGCGGTGAGCCCGTCGCATTGCTTGCTGCATAACCCCACTATTTGCATGGGAGGAGCTTGACCCAACCATGGAGAGCAGAGCCGGAGAGTCCACCAGGCACCTGGGAGAAAACATCCACGAGATCCACTGGTCTGGTAGCGAATTACGTACGAAATGGTCCATATGACGGACGCACGACAATGCTTCTATTCAGAGGGTCGGCCAGTGGCCGGTGGTTTCTTCTAGATAAAGGCAGGATTTTCGTTGGGAAGGTTTGTTTAGCCGCCCGCCCGTTGGCCGCCTCGCTCCCGCAGCCCATTCCCTGTGGGCCAAAGAAATCAGTTTCTCCGAGGTGAACCAAATTCACAAATAATTCAACCTATCCACATGTACTGCTCTCCATAGTGGCGAGAGAATTGGGTGAATTAGTGGGCACGCGGATCATCTGAGACTCGGCCAGGCCATGTTGGAAGAAAACAGCCGACTAGATTTTAGATGCTGGTCATTCGTCGCAGGGACCGAATACGACTGTGGTAAGTTCCGTCCCCATGAACACCCCGTGATGCCCGTCAGGCATTTCAGACAAATTTATTAGCAGTACGCCCGGCAATTTTTTTCACCCACATCGGATTGGCCGCGGCGCATGCTTTGAACCACGCAATATGGAGTACGGAGTAGAAGCGAGCGAAGGCTGAGCACGAAGAGCACGGGGTTGCCATGTTCCCCTCGCAAAGACGGGCACCTTACCCACCGTATAAAGCTGCACCAAAAGCCCCCTAGGCAATTCAATCAGAATTCGTTCGGCACATGCTAGGCAAGTACCCCAACCAAACAAGTGAGCATCACCTGTGGAGACCAACACAGACCAAGAGGATCAAGAGGGGGGGAGGACGAGGGCTTTTTTATTAGCGCGCAGAAGATGGGCGACGCTGTGAAATTTTATCAATCAAATCTTATCAATCGATCAATGGCCCACCCTCGTCTCGTGGAGCTGGGTTGCTCGCTCACCCCAACACCGCCTGCTTCTTCGTTCAAATAGACCCGCGGCTGCTCATTTTCGCGAGCGCACGAGCCGTCGAGGGTTTTCCAGTCCTTCTGCTTTCTCTTCACACACTTTGGATCCTCCTCAACCCACCGCTTTGTTTGATGGTTTCCCTCTCCCGTCACTTGAGATTCAACAAGCCCATGTGAACTGCCGAAAGACGAATCGGGATTCAAGCGCTGTCAATTGCCCGCATCTTATTTGTTGACTTTTCCCATTCCCCTTGTTGACTACCTGCGTTGGTTTGGTGCACTGGTGTGCCCTGAGACTCTGGGTGTCGCAGCGCTGATATATCGAGCGCAAACCTGCTCAGAAGGATCGAGGAAAACCCAGTGGCATTGCATCTTTCAAACCAATACTTTTATCATCTCCGAACTTTCGCCCGCATTAGCCCAGCATTGAGTACTTTTTTTTTTTCAATCATTCAACACTGGAAAAAAAAAGCCTGCATTTTGATGGGCTGCATCAGACCCGAGTACCGGATTTCTTATCTGATCCTACGCAAAATCAGACCACCCGCCCGATTCGGAACTCCGAGGTATTGGCTCGCAAACCAGCCAATCACGACCCAGAACCAACTAACCGCCGCAAGCACCGCAACAAAATCTCCACCCGCTCGGTTCCGTCACCATGCCCGTGCCGTCCACTCCCGCTCCTCTTGCTCCCTCACCTCCATCCCATAGTAATCCCGGAGCCGTCACAGAGGTCAGCAACCAGAGGCAAATAGCATCTCGGCCTTTGTCCAAGGCCTCCCAGAGACCAGCTGCCGGCTCCTCTGCAGGCACCGCCGGGTCTCTCGCTCCTGCGTCCGGTGCGCCTGGCCCGCCCTCTCGAGCACCGCTTCCGACGAAACAGCCAAAGGCCAACACTTCGGCAAAGACAACCGGCGGTCCGGTCCCTCTGCCTCGTCTATCTGCACCGCTCGTCGATAAAATGGCCATGGCGGCCGTCATCAGCCCTTCTCCCACAGCGGAGGCTCCCAAGATCTCCATGACATCCAAGGAATGGGTCATCCCGCCGCGTCCCAAGCCTGGCCGTAAACCAGCGACAGACACTCCTCCAACAAAGCGCAAGGCCCAGAACCGTGCTGCTCAGCGCGCTTTCCGTGAACGACGAGCTGCCCGTGTAGGGGAACTGGAAGTGCAGCTGGACGAACAAAAAGATGCTCATCAACAGGAGGAGGTCAAGCTAAAGGAAAAGATTCGCAATCTAGAGTTGGATCTCCAATCGTTCCGATCTAGATGTATGCTCTTGGAGAATATGCTCGACCGTGAGCGACAGGAGCGTATCCGCGCCGAGACTCAGGCAGAGACGCTCAAGAGTAGGCATGGTGACGACTTTTTTCGATCGCAAAGTATAAGCGGTCCTCGCCACTCGCACAGTCAGCCTCACAGCCCTGTACATCATCACACCCGTCACAGCCTGTCTGGCGGACGCAACGAGCACCTCTCGCAGGGGAGAAACTTTTCCATTTCCAACATCATCACTCCCCCCGAAAGCTTGGACATCAGTTCCAACAACCCCGAGGCCGACGCAGCCATCACTTGCGGCAACTGCTCACCCAACAGCCGCTGTGCATGTGCTGAAGAGGTGCTCGCTTCCACGTCTGCAGGCTGCGGCAAGTGTGGATTTGGCACTGCTTGTCAATGCTTGGATGGCATGGCGAACAATGTCAGCGCAGGACAAGACATGAAAAGGCCTCTATCGCCGTCTGCTGGCTCGTCCGACAACAAGCGACACCGTCCGGACGTGGACATCCACGCCCTCACAGAGACGGACTTCACTGCCATGTTCTCAAGAAAGCCTGCTGCCGATGCCACACCCCAATCACCATATGACCAGCCCCCATCCGTGACCCAGATGTCCTCCGAAGAGTCCATGGCATTCAAGGAGAGCTGCGGATTCTGCAAAGACGGCACGTACTGCGTCTGCGCCGAGGATACAGCTGGCATGGCTACCCCGGCCATGACTCCCACCGAATCAACACAGCCTATTTCCCACCAAACCCAAACCCCTCCTCCTTCCGAGCCCGATATCCTCCCGCCCCCTCTAGCCATGGAAATGACGGCAGATGGAGCCGTCAAGCTCCCCCGCAGAATCCAAGGCAAGAAACCCGTCCACAAGGCATCGCCCTCGTCCAAGGGCGGCTGTGGCGCCAACGGACCCGGCACATGCGCCCAATGCCAGGCAGACCCCAAATCCGGCCTGTTCTGCCGCCTGATGAATGCCAAGTATAGCCGTGAACAGGGCTCCGGCGGCGGCTGTTGTGGCGGGAAAGGCGCTGGCGGCGGATGCTGCAAGTCAAAGTCAAAGGCCCAGCCGGTCCCTGAGAAAATCACCCTCCCCAGCCTGCCCAGCCTGGGACTCAGCTGCGCCGAAGCGTACCAGACCCTGTCCAGCCACAGGAACTTCTCCAAGGCCGCAGACGACATCTCTTCGTGGCTGCCAAAGTTGAAGACTACACAGCACGGGGGCCCGGTCACTCCGGGGAGACAAGCCATAGAGGTCGAGGCGGCGAGTATAATGAGTGTTTTGAAAGAATTCGATGTACGCTTCGGAAGGGAGTGCTGAAATGAGAACCACGGAACATGATTTACAAAAATGGCTGGGTATGCATTATGAATTGGTGGCATTCGTTGTTTTTGGGTTGCTGTATTATAGGGGAAAGGCAAAAGCTACAGAAGTAGTTGTTTCATAAAGGTCCGCGCAATATACTGCTCTACTATTCTTTAAGGTTGCAGCTTTACGTTGAAATCGAATAACGTTTGTACGGTGGTGCTCTGTTCCTTCTTGACGTCTTTGTGATCCAACTAGTCGGTAAGCTGGGCCCATTCATCCATCAGCTACATGAGCAGCTCACCCCCCAGAAGTATAAAACATATTATCAATCTTCTTCCAATCAGAGGTTTATTCCAGCATCATGTCGATATACCTGCTGGCATGATGTGGTACGTGGCTGCCTTAAAGTATTTACGGTAGCCATGGCAGAAAGAAGTCGCAACACCTCCGAAGGGCAGAATCATGAATAGCAATAGCGCCAACAAGACCGGCGAGCCTGAAAATAGATACATCACTGCGAAGAGGAGCGAAAGTTTTAGCAGAGTACAATCTGATGATCAAAACGCCATTCTTTCCATCACCCTTTGCCTCGCACGTCGAATACATGTATATTGCTTCGTCTTTTTTCACGCTTGGCCGACAACAAATTTTCATTGCGGTAGACACGAAACAACTACATTTTTTAGACCGCCAAGGAAGGGCATTTGGCTCTCATTTGTTTGGGAAAATACCATCAATGGACTAGATGCAGAATATCCATCTACGAGCGACTCCGGCGCCTCAAGAATGGCCTCAACTTTTGAACCTGTCCGCCAACATTTTAGACGCTTAATTACCGCCCGCCAAGTTGAACTCCATCGTATATAGAAAAGGATTATAGGGTCGAGAAAGACACCGGCCCATGAAGAGAGTAGGTGTTGCGGCGGGGAGGACAGCACTCCCATATGCCACATACAGGTCTGTGCACAACATTATACACGAGGATGCCCGCGGTGCGTTGGACAGGGTAGGCCTGCCGGCGAACCGACGAGCCGAAATTTAATGGCTTAGATGCCGGGCCTTCGTCTCAATTATACGGGCGCTGACCTTGGCTCTTTGTCGGATCTCTCCTACATGACTTCAAACAGTCCTCCTATCCTGTGGCAACTGACCTGTGGCATGTGATGAGTCAAAATACAGAAAAGAGATGGATGAGAATTCCGTACAGGGGCCTCAGTGTCTAATTGTCGCTCTTTGACAC